TTCCTCATCCTCATAATATAATCTTAAACTGTATACACATTACATGATGGTAATACTTATTTCAATCATAACAAAACAAACGCTCAAAATTTATTCCAAAAACTGAGCTGTAGAATTTTGCATGATTAAAACTGAGCTGTAGTATTTTGTGTGGTTAAAACTGAGCTGTAGTATTTTGTATGGTTATAACTGAGCTGTAGTATTTTGTATGGTTAAAACTGAGCTGTAGTATTTTGTATGGTTAAAACTGAGCTGTAGTATTTTGTATGACTAAAACTGAGCTGTAGTATTTTGTATGGTTAAAACTGGGCTGTAGAATTTTGCATGATTAAAACTGAGCTGTAGTATTTTGTATGGTTAAAACTGGGCTGTAGTATTTTGTATGGTTAAAACTGAGCTGTAGTATTTTGTTTGGTTAAAACTGAGCTGTAGAATTTTGCATTATTAAAACTGAGCTGTAGTATTTTGTATGGTTAAAACTGAGCTGTAGTATTTTGTGTGGTTAAAACTGAGCTGTAGAATTTTGTGTGGTTAAAACTGAGCTGTAGTATTTTGTGTGGTTAAAACTGATCTGTAGTTTTTTGTTTGGTTAAAACTGAGCTGTAGTATTTTGTAATAACTGAGCTGTAGTATTTTGTATGGTTAAAACTGAGCTGTAGTATTTTGTATGGTTAAAACTGAGCTGTAGTATTTTGTATGATTAAAACTGAGCTGTAGTATTTTGTATGGTTAAAACTGGGCAGTAGAATTTTGCATGATTAAAACTGAGCTGTAGTATTTCGTATGGTTAAAACTGGGCTGTAGAATTTTGCATGATTAAAACTGAGCTGTAGTATTTTGTATGGTTAAAACTGAGCTGTAGTATTTTGTGTGGTTAAAACTGAGCTGTAGTATTTTGTGTGGTTAAAACTGAGCTGAAGAATTTTGTGTGGTTAAAACTGAGCTGTAGTATTTTGTGTGGTTAAAACTGATCTGAAGTATTTTGTGTGGTTAAAACTGAGCTGTAGTATTTTGTATGGTTAAAACTGAGCTGTAGTATTTTGTATGGTTAAAACTGAGCTGTAGTATTTTGTATGGTTAAAACTGAGCTGTAGTATTTTGTATGGTTAAAACTGAGCTGTAATTATTTTGTATGGTTAAAACCGAGCTGTATGGTATGGTTGTATGGTTGACACAAGCACATCATCTGAGTTTTAACAACGGGTAGATACCAAGGTATACATCGAAAGAAAGGCTGTGCTTATTATATAATAGAAGAGATGTAGAAGATAAAACTCACTCTATATGATCATACCCCGCTTACTGAGAATGAAAACTTACGCCGTATCTACCTGTGCCACTCTGTATTCAAGTAAACTGAAGTAAAACCTGCGAGAAAAACATTAGGAAATACTTAATCCATGCTTCGTTGTCACAGCCAAATGTTTGAAATTATATCATTTGTTTAGTATTGTGTTACTATTCCTGTGTCAACAATTAAATCAATCTAGGTATTATTCATAATGTGTCAGTTTCCGTCAGAATTGCATCGATTGTGTACACCTCCATCTATTATAATGTTTATATATACATATCCTGTATGTCCTATATGCTGTGCTGAATCTGGAAATAAATTGGACTTGATATTATCTGAACATCGTAGTGAAAACGTAGAGATTTACATGTCTAATTTGCTTTATTGTAACATAACAATTTAAAAGAAATCTATTTTGTATTATATTCTTGACGTAAGTATATCTTAACAATCAATGTTGATTAACACTCGTGAAGTGATTTCATTTTCAACAATTGTTTTTAACTTTTCATATGTTAACAGGATCGAATAGAAGGCTAGGTCTTGTAAGCCCTTCCAAAATTTAGTAGATGAATACAATACATATTCTGTTAGACACATCCAACATCCTTAACATCCATTAAGCTAAGAAGGTAAGGAGAGGTATTAACAATATGTTACCAGGAATTTATAGTAATTTAAGTTGATAATTATGTAAATAATACGATTTTATTGATAATCTAAGACAAATTAAAGTTCGTAAAGTCCAGTCGCATACGTAAAAAGATTTGATAGTAAACCAAACAATACATCGGAAGTATATACATTGTAGGATAGGAAACATTTGACGATTGCATACAGAACCACACTGGTCGTACTAAACCCTAGCCTGGGGGAATTGTCCTGGTCGTACAAATCCTAGCCTGGGAGAATTGTCCTGGTCGTACAAATCCTAGCCTGGTGGAATTGTCCTTTTCGTACTAAACCCTATCCTGGGGGAATTGTCCTGGTTGTACTAAACCCTAGCCTGTGGGAATTGTCCTAGTCGTACAAACCCTAGCCTGTGGGAATTGTCCTAGTCGTACAAACCCTAGCCTGGGGGAATTGTCCTAGTCGTACAAACCCTAGCCTGTGGGAATTGTCCTAGTCGTACAAACCCTAGCCTGGTGGAATTGTCCTGGTCGTACAAACCCTAGCCTGTGGGAATTGCCCTGGTCGTACAAACCCTAGCCTGTGGGAATTGCCCTGGTCGTACAAACCCTAGCCTGTGGGAATTGTCCTAGTCGTACAAACCCTAGCCTGTGGGAATTGCCCTGGTCGTACAAACCCTAGCCTGGGGGAATTGCCCTGGTCGTATTAAACCCTAGCCTGGGGGAATTGTCCTAGTCGTACAAACCCTAGCCTGGTGGAATTGTCCTGGTTGCACTAAACCCTAGCCTGGGGGAATTGTCCTGGTTGTACTAAACCCTAGCCTGTGGGAATTGTCCTAGTCGTACAAACCCTAGCCTGGTGGAATTGTCCTAGTCGTACAAACCCTAGCCTGTGGGAATTGTCCTAGTCGTACAAACCCTAGCCTGGTGGAATTGTCCTGGTCGTACAAACCCTAGCCTGTGGGAATTGCCCTGGTCGTACAAACCCTAGCCTGTGGGAATTGCCCTGGTCGTACAAACCCTAGCCTGGGGGAATTGCCCTGGTCGTATTAAACCCTAGCCTGGGGGAATTGTCCTAGTCGTACAAACCCTAGCCTGTGGGAATTGTCCTAGTCGTACAAACCCTAGCCTGTGGGAATTGTCCTAGTCGTACAAACCCTAGCCTGGTGGAATTGTCCTGGTCGTACAAACCCTAGCCTGTGGGAATTGCCCTAGTCGTACAAACCCTAGCCTGTGGGAATTGCCCTGGTTGTACAAACCCTAGCCTGGGGGAATTGCCCTGGTCGTACAAACCCTAGCCTGGGGGAATTGCCCTGGTCGTATTAAACCCTAGCCTGTGGGAATTGTCCTAGTCGTACAAACCCTAGCCTGGTGGAATTGTCCTGGTTGCACTAAACCCTAGCCTGGGGGAATTGCCCTGGTCGTACTAAACTCTAGCCTGGGGGAATTGCCCTGGTCGTACTAAACTCTAGCCTGGGGGAATTGTCCTGGTCGTACTAAACTCTAGCCTGGGGGAATTGTCCTGGTTGTACTAAACCCTAGCCTGGGGGAATTGTCCTGGTTGTACTAAATCCTAGCCTGGGGGAATTGCCCTGGTCGTACTAAACTCTAGCCTGGGGGAATTGCCCTGGTCGTACTAAACCCTAGCCTGGGGGAATTGTCCTGGTTGTACTAAATCCTAGCCTGGTGGAATTGCCCTGGTCGCAATAAACCCTAGCCTGGTGGAATTGTCCTTTTCGTACTAAACCCTAGCCTGGGGGAATTGCCCTGGTCGTACTAAACCCTAGCCAGGGGGAATTGTCCTAGTCGTACAAACCCTAGCCTGGTGGAATTGCCCTAGTCGTACAAACCCTAGCCTGGGGGAATTGTCCTGGTCGTATTAAATCCTACCCAACACTGTTCGGTTTGGCCTGGTCGTACTAAACCCTAGCCTGGTGGAATTGCCCTGGTCGTATTAAATCCTACCCAACACTGTTCGGATTGGCCTAGTTGGACAAGCCTAGCCGACGGTGTTCTGATTGGTCTGGTCGTACAAACTCTAGCCGACGGTGTTCTGATTGGTCTGGTCGTACAAACCCTAGCCGACGGTGTTCTGATTGGTCTGGTCGTACAAACCCTAGCCGACGGTGTTCTGATTGGTCTGGTCGTACAAACCCTAGCCGACGGTGTTCTGATTGGTCTGGTCGTACAAACCCTAGCCGACGGTGTTCTGATTGGTCTGGTCGTACAAACCCTAGCCGACGGTGTTCTGATTGGTCAGGTCGTACAAACTCTAGCCGACGGTGTTCTGATTGGTCTGGTCGTACAAACCCTAGCCGACGGTGTTCTGATTGGTCTGGTCGGACAAACCCTCATATCTCTATCTAACAATGGAAGCTAGAGACAAACTGACTTTTGTAGGTGCCGTTGTGAAAGTTTTCGACTGGTGGTCCAACAACTGATCAGATATGTAATTTGGTGTTTCAATTGCCGTTGTGATAGTTTTTCGACTGGTGGTCCAACAACTGATCAGATATGTAATTTGGTGTTTCAGTTGCCGTTGTGATAGTTTTTCGACTGGTGGTCCAACAACTGATCAGATATGTAATTTGGTGTTTCAGGTGCCGTTGTGATAGTTTTTTCGACTGGTGGTCCAACAACTGATCAGATATGTAATTTGGTGTTTCAGTTGCCGTTGTGATAGTTTTTCGACTGGTGGTCCAACAACTGATCAGATATGTAATTTGGTGTTTCAGGTGCCGTTGTGATAGTTTTTTCGACTGGTGGTCCAACAACTGATCAGATATGTAATTTGGTGTTTCAGTTGCCGTTGTGATAGTTTTTTCGACTGGTGGTCCAACAACTGATCAGATATGTAATTTGGTGTTTCAGGTGCCGTTGTGATAGTTTTTTCGACTGGTGGTCCAACAACTGATCAGATATGTAATTTGGTGTTTCAGGTGCCGTTGTGATAGTTTTTTCGACTGGTGGTCCAACAACTGATCAGATATGTAATTTGGTGTTTCAGTTGCCGTTGTGATAGTTTTTTTTCGACTGCTGGTTCAACAACTGATCAGATATGTAATTTGGTGTTTCAGTTGCCGTTGTGATAGCTTTTTTCGCCTGCTGGGCACCTTTCCACTCCCAGAGGCTGATGACCATATATGTACAACAACACCAGTGGACTAAGGAACTGTACATAGTTCAGGACTACCTGTTCTACATCTCGGGTGAGTGGCATATCTATTAAACAGGTGATTACAATAAATGATGTGAGTTGATGACTAAACAACAGGTGAGGTGATTACTATAACACAGGTGAGGTGATTACTATAACACAGATGAGTTGATCACTTTAACACAGGTGAGGTGATCACTATAACACAGGTGAGGTGATTACTATAACACAGGTGAGGTGATTACTATAACACAGGTGAGGTGATTACTATAACACAGGTGAGGTGATTACTATAACACAGGTGAGGTGATTACTATAACACAGGAGAGGTGATTACTATAACACAGGTGAGGTGATTACTATAACACAGGTGAGGTGATTACTATAACACAAATGAGTTGATCACTTTAACACAGGTGAGGTGATTACTATAACACAGGAGAGGTGATTACTATAACACAGGAGAGGTGATTACTATAACACAGGTGAGGTGATTACTATAACACAGGTGAGCTGATTACTATAACACAGGTGAGGTGATCACTATAACACAGGTGAGGTGATTACTATAACACAGGAGAGGTGATTACTATAACACAGGTGAGGTGATTACTATAACACAGGTGAGGTGATTACTATAACACAGATGAGTTGATCACTTTAACACAGGTGGCGTGATTACTATAACACAGGTGAGGTGATCACTATAACACAGGAGAGGTGATTACTATAACACAGGAGAGGTGATTACTATAACACAGGTGAGGTGATTACTATAACAAAGGTGGCGTGATTACTATAACACAGGTTACTTGGTTACTATACCACAGGTGAGTTGATTACTATAACACAGGTGGCGTGATTACTATAACACAGGTGAGGTGATCACTATAACACAGGTGAGGTGATTACTATAACACAGGTGAGGTGATTACTATAACACAGGTGGCGTGATTACTATAACACAGGTTACTTGGTTACTATACCACAGGTGAGTTGATTACTATAACACAGGTGAGTTGATTACTATAACACAGGTGAGTTGATTACTTTAACACAAGTGAGGTGATCACTATAACACAGGTGAGGTGATTACTATAACACAGGTGAGTTGATCACTTTAACACAGGTGAGGTGATTACTATAACACAGGTGAGTTGATTACTATAACACAGGTGAGTTGATCACTTTAACACAGGTGAGGTGATTAGTAGAACACAGGTGAGGTGATTAGTAGAACACAGGTGAGGTGATTACTATAACACAGGTTACTTGGTTACTATACCACAGGTGAGTTGATTACTATAATACAGGTGAGTTGATTACTATAACACAGGTGAGTTGATTATTTTAACACAAGTGAGGTGATAACTATAACACAGGTGAGTTCGTTACTATAACATAGGTGAGTTGATTACTATAACACAGGTGAGGTGATTACTAAAACACAGGTGACTTGATTACTATAACACAGGTGAGATGATTACTATGCAACAGGTGAGTTGATAACTATAGCACAGGTGAGGTGATTACTATAACACAGGTGAGGTGATTACTATAACACAGATGTGGTGATTATCATAACACAGGTAAGTTGATTACTATAACACAGGTGAACTGATTACTATAACACAGGTAAGGTGATTACTATAACACAGGTGAGTTGATTACTATACCACAGGTGAGTTGATTACTATAACACAGGTTACTTGATAACTATAACACAGGTGAGGTGATTACTATAACACAGGTAATTTGATTATTATAACACAGGTAAGTTGATTACTATAACACAGGTGTGGTGATTATCATAACACAGGTAAGTTGATTACTATAACACAGGTGAGCTGATTACTATAACACAGGTAAGTTGATTACTATAGCACAGGTAAGGCGATTACTATAACACAGGTAAGGTGATTACTATAACACAGTTGAGTTGATTACTATACCACAGGTGAGTTGATTACTATAAAATAGTTGATTCTCTCCTTTTTTTCCTCCTCCATAATTTAATGCATTCCTACTCTTCACACTCCGATTTTTAGAAGACTCATCCTTTCTTATTTCAAAAAATAAATTTTCAACAACGTATGAACTTTGACAGTGCATAAATCAGGATCAATTTTTAAACCAATGGCTCTTCACAGGTCTCCCAATAAAAAGAACTGATCGGCTAAATATGGTTATGGCCAAATGTTACGTATATGTTAGTCATAAAGAGCAGTCAAACTTAGATGGTGATTTTCTTTGTTTATTTAAGTTATTTACATTACTTGCTATTAGTGTCGACAACCAAATAAATTTTATTATTATGTTACCATGCAGTTTTATCATGCCGGGTTATATCTGGTTTCCCCTACTGACGTCGCTATGGCTGAGATATGCAATAGGACAGTAAATGTTTTCGGTAGCATTAGGCGACGTTTTACAGTATTGCCGAATCATTGCGTTTTGATAGTACTGTAATCACACGAACGGTTTTTACAACATCTCGGTAAGATATTATTTGGCATTGACTATGACCGTAAAACCTTATTTATTACTTACGAAAGTACACTCGAACCGGCTCTTCCGCGATCACCTTCCATCTCTATGTTGAGTTTTAGTGTCGAGGTCTAGTTACTTTATTAATCTAGTCAGATATTGTCCCTTTTAGTTTCAGAGATACAGACATAAATACTATACATGTTTCCATTGCTCTATGATTTCAAGTGATAGTGTTTTCATTTCCATGGACTAGCAAGCAAATATCTCATATTTATAAACTATTTATTTTACAACAATTGCGACACAAGTTATTTCAATTATACTAGTCACTCTTATTGTCCCGGATGTAAGCGCTCGAGGGTCTTATTATAGGGGAAAAACGGAGTAGCCGGGGAAAACCCACGAGGTCGGACATATGACCCCCTACCTTTTCACATCCGTTCCGGGAATCGAACCCAAGATGGCTAAGTGAAAGCCAAGTGCGCTACCCGACCACCCAAATATTTCACAATAATTATGTACAATTATATATACAAATAAACTGTATATATTTACATATTTAACTTGGTGCGCGTTATGTACTTACCCCAATGTAAATACAATTCGCTGCAGCTACAGAAAATAAGAAACAATCCTTAAATATCAACAACGTTGGTCAGTACCTCTGGATAAGAATAGTAAATGGTGACCATATGATTCGGAGTAACCCTAGTGGATGTTGACCCAGTGATTCGGGGTAACCCTAGTGAATGATGGCATAGTGCCTCGGGGTAACCCAAGTGAATGTTGACCCAGTGATTATGGGGTAACCATAGTGAATGTTGACCCAGTAGCTCGGGGTAACCATAGTGAATGTTGATCCAATGTTCGAGGTAATCATAGTGAATTGTGGCCCAGTGCCGAGGTGAGTATCTATACCGACAAGTAAGTTATTACGAGGTGTGTATCTATACCGACAGGTAAGTTATTACAAGGTGTGTATCTATACCGACAGTTAAGTTATTACAAGGTGTGTATCTATAAAGACAGGTAAGTTATTACGAGGTGTGTATCTATACCGACAGGTAAGTTATTACAAAGGTGTGTTATCTATACAGATAGTAAGGGTTTTACGAAGTATGTATCTATACCGACAGTGTTTTGTGTTGACGTGTGTATCTATTCCGACAGTGTTTTGTGTTGACGTGTGTATCTATACCGACAGTGTTTTGTGTTGACGTGTGTTTCCATACCGACAGTGTTTTGTGTTGACGTGTGTTTCTATACCGACAGTGTTTTGTGTTGACGTGTGTTTCCATACCGGCAGTGTTTTGTGTTGACGTGTATACCGACAGTGTTTTGTGTTGACGTGTATTTCTATACCGACGGTGAAGTCGTTTTGTGTTGACGTGTGTTTCTATACCGACAGTGTTTTGTGTTGACGTGTGTTTCTATACCGACAGTGAAGTCGTTTTGTGTTGAAGTGTGTTTCTATACCGACAGTGAAGTCGTTTTGTGTTGACGTGTGTTTCTATACCGACAGTGTGTGTGTGTTTCTATACCGTTGTGTTTCTATACCGACAGTGTGTGTTGAGTGTGTTTCTATACGTTTTGTGTTGACGTGTGTTTCTATACCGACAGTGAAGTCGTTTTCTGTTGACGTGTGTTTCTATACCGACAGTGAAGTCGTTTTGTGTTGACGTGTGTTTCTATACCGACAGTGAAGTCGTTTTGTGTTGACGTGTGTTTCTATACCGACAGTGTTTTGTGTTGACGTGTGTTTCTATACCGACAGTGTTTTGTGTTGACGTGTGTTTCTATACCGACAGTATACCGACAGTGTTTTTGTGTTGACCTGTGTTTCTATACCGACAGTGTTTTGTGTTGACGTGTGTTTCTATACCGAGAGTGAAGTCGTTTTGTGTTGACGTGTGTTTCTATACCGACAGTGAAGTCGTTTTGTGTTGACTTGTGTTTCTATACCGACAGTGAAGTCGTTTTGTGTTGACGTGTGTTTCTATACCGACAGTGTTTTGTGTTGACGTGTGTTTCTATACCGACAGTGAAGTCGTTTTGTGTTGACGTGTGTTTCTATACCGACAGTGAAGTCGTTTTGTGTTGACGTGTGTTTCTATACCGACAGTGTTTTGTGTTGACGTGTGTTTCTATACCGACAGTGAAGTCGTTTTGTGTTGACGTGTGTTTCTATACCGACAGTCTTTTGTGTTGACCTGTGTTTCTATACCGCTAGTGAACTCGTTTTATATTGACGTGTGTTTCTATACCGACAGTGTTTTGTGTTGACTTGTGTTTCTATACCGACGGTGAAGTCGTTTTGTGTTGAAGTGTGTTTCTATACCGACAGTGAAGTCGTTTTGTGTTGACGTGTGTTTCTATACCGACAGTGTTTTGTGTTGACGTGTGTTTCTATACCGACAGTGTTTTGTGTTGACGTGTGTTTCTATACCGACAGTGAAGTCGTTTTGTGTTGACGTGTGTTTCTATACCGACAGTGAAGTCGTTTTGTGTTGACGTGTGTTTCTATACCGACAGTGAAGTCGTTTTGTGTTGACGTGTGTTTCTATACCGACGGTGAAGTCGTTTTGTGTTGACGTGTGTTTCTATACCGACAGTGAAGTTTTGTGTTGACGTGTTTCTATACCGACAGTGAAGTCGTTTTGTGTTGACGTGTGTTTCTATACCGACAGTGTTTTGTGTTGACGTGTGTTTCTATACCGACAGTCTTTTGTGTTGACGTGTGTTTCTATACCGACAGTGTTTTGTGTTGACGTGTGTTTCTATACAAACAGTCTTTTGTGTTGACGTGTGTTTCTATACAAACAGTCTTTTGTGTTGACCTGTGTTTCTATACCGACAGTGTTTTGTGTTGACGTGTGTTTCTATACCGACAGTGTTTTGTGTTGACGTGTGTTTCTATACCGACAGTGTTTTGTGTTGACGTGTGTTTCTATACCGACAGTGTTTTGTGTTGACGTGTGTTTCTATACCGACAGTGAAGTCGTTTTGTGTTGACGTGTGTTTCTATACCGACAGTGAAGTCGTTTTGTGTTGACGTGTGTTTCTATACCGACAGTGTTTTGTGTTGACGTGTGTTTCTATACCAACAGTCTTTTGTGTTGACCTGTGTTTCTATACCGCTAGTGAAGTCGTTTTGTGTTGACGTGTGTTTCTATACCGACAGTGTTTTGTGTTGACGTGTGTTTCTATACCGACGGTGAAGTCGTTTTGTGCTGACGTGTGTTTTTATACCGACAGTGTTTTGTGTTGAGGTGTGTTTCCATACCGGCAGTGTTTTGTGTTGACGTGCGTTTCTATACCGACAGTGTTTTGTGTTGACTTGTGTTTCTTGTGTTTTGTGTTTTGTACCGACGTGTGTTTCTATACCGACAGTGAAGTCGTTTTGTGTTGACGTGTGTTTCTGTGTTTCTATACCGACAGTGAAGTCGTTTTGTGTTGACGTGTGTTTCTATACCGACAGTGTTTTGTGTTGACGTGTGTTTCTATACAAACAGTGTTTTGTGTTGACGTGTGTTTCTATACCGACAGTGAAGTCGTTTTGTGTTGACGTGTGTTTCTATACCGACAGTGTTTTGTGTTGACGTGTGTTTCTATACCGACAGTGTTTTGTGTTGACGTGTGTTTCTATACCGTGTTTTGTGTTGACGTGTGTTTCTATACCGAGAGTGTTTTGTGTTGACGTGTGTTTCTATACCGTTTTTGTGTTGACGTGTGTTTCTATACCGACAGTGTTTTGTGTTGACGTGTGTTTCTATACCGACAGTGAAGTCGTTTTGTGTTGACGTGTGTTTCTATACCGACAGTGAAGTCGTTTTGTGTTGACGTGTGTTTCTATACCGACAGTGAAGTCGTTTTGTGTTGACGTGTGTTTCTATACCGACAGTGTTTTGTGTTGAGTGTGTTTCTATACCGTTTTGTGTTGACGTGTGTTTCTATACCGACAGTGAAGTCGTTTTGTGTTGACGTGTGTTTCTATACCGACAGTGTTTTGTGTTGACGTGTGTTTCTATACCGACAGTGAAGTCGTTTTGTGTTGACGTGTGTTTCTATACCGACAGTGTTTTGTGTTGACGTGTGTTTCTATACCGACAGTGAAGTCGTTTTGTGTTGACGTGTGTTTCTATACCGACAGTGTTTTGTGTTTGACGTGTGTTTCTATACCGTGTTTTGTGTTGACGTGTGTTTCTATACCGACAGTGTCTGTGTTTCTATACCGACAGTACGTGTGTTTCTATACCGACAGTGTTTTGTGTTGACGTGTGTTTCTATACCGACAGTGTTTTGTGTTGACGTGTGTTTCTATACCGACAGTGTTTTGTGTTGACGTGTGTTTCTATACCGACAGTGTTTTGTGTTGACTTGTGTTTCTATACCGACAGTGAAGTCGTTTTGTGTTGACGTGTGTTTCTATACCGACAGTGTTTTGTGTTGACGTGTGTTTCTATACCGTGTGTTTTGTGTTGAAGTGTGTTTCTATACCGACAGTGTTTTGTGTTGACGTGTGTTTCTATGTGTTCTGTGTTGACGTGTGTACCGACAGTGTTTGTGTTGACGTGTGTACCGACAGTGTTTTGTGTTGACGTGTGTACCGACAGTGTTTTGTGTTGACGTGTGTACTGACAGTGTTTTGTGTTGACGTGTGTACCGACAGTGTTTTGTGTTGACGTGTGTACCGACAGTGTTTTGTGTTGACGTGTGTTTCTATACCGACAGTGTTTTGTGTTGACGTGTGTACCGACAGTGTTTTGTGTTGACGTGTGTTTCTATACCGACAGTGTTTTGTGTTGACGTGTGTTTCTATACCGACAGTGTTTTGTGTTGACGTGTGTTTCTATACCGACAGTGTTTTGTGTTGACGTGTGTACCGACAGTGTTTTGTGTTGACGTGTGTACCGACAGTGTTTGTGTTGACGTGTGTACCGACAGTGTTTTGTGTTGACGTGTGTACCGACAGTGTTTTGTGTTGACGTGTGTACCGACAGTGTTTTGTGTTGTACCGACGTGTGTTTGACTGTGTACCGACAGTGTTTTGTGTTGAGTGTTTTGTGTTGACGTGTGTTTCTATACCGACAGTGTTTTGTGTTGACGTGTGTTTCTATACCGACAGTGTTGTGTGTTGACGTGTATACCGACAGTGTTTTGTGTTGACGTGTGTACCGACAGTGTTTTGTGTTGACGTGTGTACCGACAGTGTTGTGTGTTGACGTGTATACCGACAGTGTTTTGTGTTGACGTGTGTACCGACAGTGTTTTGTGTTGATACCCACACTACTAACAGAAATCGTTATATTATTTCAGGTGCCTTGTACTTCTTCAATTCTGCAATAAACCCGATCCTGTACAATTTGATGTCCAAGAAATACCAACAAGCCTTCAAACGGACTTTGTGCAACTGTGGCAGAATGAAAGATTTTGATCTAAACACCAGTTTCCAGGGTTCCAACAGCCCTAACAGGGAGCGAAACTCTCACCATGTTCACTACACTAAGATATCTAAAGTGGACAAATCTCACGGAACGGTCGTCACTACGGTAGCAGACGCCACTTTGTGATCTTAAACATCGACACGAATATTGATACATGCAAGTAAAAATAATGTTTAATAATTGTATAGCATAGGATTGGTTTATTTATTTAACTTATTTTCATTTAAGCAATACAGGAATATTGTACCACAGACTTAGAAACAAGCTTAGGAAACGCCTACGTTGGTGATCAGAATGTTTCTAGGTTATCCAGCAAATGGTTTTTCGGTGCAAACCAAACGTGTATGCTATATGCTATTTGAAAGCTAAGTATGACTAGTTCGTTGTATCTCGTCTGAATTTTCAAACTATCTCGCCTCGATTGTAAGATCTTCAAAAAGTGATTTCGTGGATGTAAGGGATGGAAAAATTCTCTCAAATCCATGACGCTGCTGTCAATGTGATAGCGTCATCATTTTACGTAGCGTAACCATGTCGCAATATGATAACGTCATCAATTTTGACGCACATTTCATAGGATATCGATGACGGCAAGATGAACAGGTTTCACAATAATTTACAATTTATGTTACTGTTTGTTTTGATAATGACAGGATAACTCAACCCTCTTGTAAGAGTTTTATTGGTGAGAACTCGCCAAGCCTTGTGCTGACCAGCCGAACTCTAAACCCTTCAGATCCATGTAATATTCTATCATTGACAATCTAACACATCTCGGTACATTCTGTGTCAACATCAGTTCTGTCAACATTTACAATGAAAACTCTTTGAACCAAAAATACGCACACATTGATGGAACGATGGAATTCACGTACATTTCTTCAGGAATGCCAGATTCATCTTTCCCGTGTTGTGTTGATCATCGTCATTGCCTAGCGATGAACTTTATAATATATTCATTTCGGTTTTAATGAACCTAAGGTTGTGTATTACACATAAAAGTTTTTTTCTGTTGTATGATTTAATGATGTAGCGTAATGGTCAGAGAGGATAATAAAATACTTTCTTGTCATGACGTGTTATAGTTTTTTTATTTAAAACGTTACTTTCAGCATCACAAGAACAGTACGAAGGTATTCATGGACAACCCCGTGCGGATCCGCGTTAGTAATCAAAACGTCATTCTTTGTAGTTTTGGAATAAAAAATTGACCAAACTTTATAAGATGTGGCATGTTTAAAAGTGAAATGTCGTTTCTGAAATGAGATTGGAAATTTTGTATTACAACTGTAGATGACCAATATCTTGCAAAAATTAGATGTGCTCAGTTATGGAATATATTTAAACATATAATGTACTAAACGTCATGCAAATATACAATGTACTAAGTTATTGTACAGTAGCAGACAAATATACAATGAACTAAGTTATTGTACAGTAACAGACAGACAAATATACAATGTACTCAGTTATTGTACAGTAACAGACAAATATACAATGTACTAAGTTATTGTACAGTAACAGACAAATATACAATGTACTCAGTTATTGTACAGTAACAGACAAATATACAATGTACTCAGTTATTGTACAGTAACAGACAGACAAATATACAATGTACTCGGTTATTGTACAGTAACAGACAAATATACAATGTACTCAGTTATTGTACAGTAACAGACAGACAAATATACAATGTACTCAGTTATTGTACAGTAACAGATTGTACAGTAGCAGACAAATATACAATGTACTAAGTTATTGTACAGTAACAGACAGACAAATATACAATGTACTCAGTTATTGTACAGTAACAGACAAATATACAATGTACTCAGTTATTGTACAGTAACAGACAGACAAATATACAATGTACTCAGTTATTGTACAGTAACAGACAGACAAATATACAATGTACTCAGTTATTGTACAGTAACAGACAAATATACAATGTACTCAGTTATTGTACAGTAACAGACAAATATACAATGTACTCAGTTATTGTACAGTAACAGACAAATATACAATGTACTCAGTTATTGTACAGTAACAGACAGACAAATATACAATGTACTCAGTTATTGTACAGTAACAGACAAATATACAATGTACTCAGTTATTGTACAGTAACAGACAAACAAATATACAGTGTACTCAGTTATTGTACAGTAACAGACAGACAAATATACAATATACTCAGTTATTGTACAGTAACAGACAAATATACAATGTACTCAGTTATTGTACAGTAACAGACAAATATACAATGTACTCAGTTATTGTACAGTAACAGACAGACAAATATACAATGTACTCAGTTATTGTACAGTAACAGACAAATATACAATGTACTCAGTTATTGTACAGTAACAGACAGACAAATATACAATGTACTCAGTTATTGTACAGTAACAGACAAATATACAATGTACTCAGTTATTGTACAGTAACAGACAGACAAATATACAATGTACTCAGTTATTGTACAGTAACAGACAGACAAATATACAATGTACTCAGTTATTGTACAGTAACAGACAGACAAATATACACTGTACTCAATTATTGTACAGTAACAGACGAATATACAATGCACTCGGTTATTGTACAGTAACAGACAAATATACAATGTACTCAGTTATTGTACAGTAACAGACAGACAAATATACAATGTACTCAGTTATTGTACAGTAACAGACAAATATACAATGTACTCAGTTATTGTACAGTAACAGACAAATATACAATGTACTCAGTTATTGTACAGTAACAGACAAATATACAATGCACTCGGTTATTGTACAGTAACAGACAAATATACAATGTACTCAGTTATTGTACAGTAACAGACAGACAAATATACAATGTACTCAGTTATTGTACAGTAACAGACAAATATACAATGTACTCAGTTATTGTACAGTAATAGACGACGGTTCTACCTTGTTATAACGTCCCAAGCTACAAGGTCACCAGCAAGGAGTAACACACTCAAATAAAATGTTGATAGACATGTTGGCACTGATGAGTTGAGGTCTTTTTTTATAAATTTTCTCTGGCGCTAATTACATCCCTCTTTGACAGCTTCTCTCCTAAGTGGTTTACTGACATTTTTATTCAAACTTTCAAAAATATCTTTACACTCAAACCTAAAAACGATTTACAACTGAGGTAGGATGAAAAAAGATAGAATTTAAACTGGCTTCTCTTAAATTTATGCACGCGCAGCAAATCCCTGTTAGCGATTACACCACGTTTAAACGTCAGCAATTTCTTCGTTGTTTAAACAAACGATCCGTCTTTCGTGACATAAACATATTTTTTTAATATACGTGGTTTTAAACTCCATTACTTTAAAAAATATTCGTTTTCCTGTCATACGTCAACAAAGATATATCCCCCTTACATTGCACGTGAGTACCAATTACATGCATTAGTCCTGCACAATCTGTAAGGTTTACTGTGCAAGTTATAGAAAACGAAAACTAGCTACGTAATCTATCGCTGAAGCCAACACCACTACTACGAAAGTCACCAGATCAACACCTCTACTACGAAAGTCACCAGATCAAAACCACTACTACGAAAGTCACCAGATCAAAACCACTACTACGAAAGTCACCAGATCAACACCACTACTACGAAAGTCACCAGATCAAAACCACTACTACGAAAGTCACCAGATCAACACCACTACTACGAAAGTCACCAAATCAACACCTCTACTACGAAAGTCACCAGATCAACACTTCATCCATGTTAGTCACCAGATCAACACCACTACCACGAAAGTCACCAAATCAACACCACTACTACGAAAGTCACCAGATCAACACGTCTACCATGTAATTCACCAGATCAACACTTCTTCCATATTAGTCACCAGATCAACACCACTACTACGAAAGTCACCAGATCAACACCACTACTACGAAAGTCACCAGATCAACACCACTACTACGAAAGTCACCAGATCAACACTTCTTTCATGTAAGTCACCAGATCAACGCTTCTACCATGTAATTCACCAGATCAACACCTCTAACATGTAAGTCACCAGATCAACACTTCTTTCATGTAAGTCACCAGATCAACGCCTCTAACATGTTAGTCACCAGATCAACACTTCTTCCATGTAAGTCACCAGATAAACGCTTCTACCATGTAATTCACCAGATCAACACCTCTAACATGTAAGTCACCAGATCAACGCTTCTACCATGTAATTCACCAGATCAACACCTCTAACATGTAAGTCACCAGATCAACACTTCTTTCATGTAAGTCACCAGATAAACGCTTCTACCATGTAATTCACCAGATCAACACCTCTAACATGTAAGTCACCAGATCAACGCCTCTACCATGTAATTCACCAGATCAACACCTCTTTCATGTAAGTCACCAGATCAACGCTTCTACCATGTAATTAACCAGATCAACGCCTCTACCATGTAAGTCACCAGATCATCGCCTCTACCATGTTAGTCACCAGGTTAACACCTCTAACATGTAATTCACCTGTTAACACCTCTATACACCTCTATGTAATTAACCAGATCAACGCCTCTACCATGTAAGTCACCAGGTTAACACCTCTAACATGTAATTCACCTGTTAACACCTCTACCACAAATATCACCAGATCAACGCTTCTACCATGTAATTCACCAGATCAACACCTCTAACATGTAAGTCACCAGATCAACGCTTCTACCATGTAATTAACCAGATCAACGCCTCTACCATGTTAGTCACCAGATCAACACTTCTTCCATGTAAGTCACCAGATAAACGCTTCTACCATGTAATTCACCAGATCAACACCTCTAACATGTAATTCACCTGTTAACACCTCTACCACAAATATCACCAGATCAACGCTTCTACCATGTAATTAACCAGATCAACGCCTCTACCATGTAAGTCACCAGGTTAACACCTCTAACATGTAATTCACCTGTTAACACCATGTAATTCTCAACACCTCTAACATGTAATATCACCAGATCAACGCCTCTACCATGTAAGTCACCAGATCATCGCCTCTACCATGTTAGTCACCAGGTTAACACCTCTAACATGTAATTCACCTGTTAACACCTCTACCACAAATATCACCAGATCAACGCCTCTACCATGTAAGTCACCAGATCATCGCCTCTACCATGTTAGTCACCAGGTTAACACCTCTAACATGTAAGTCACCAGATCATCGCCTCTACCATGTTAGTCACCAGGTTAACACCTCTAACATGTAATTCACCTGTTAACACCTCTACCACAAATATCACCAGATCAACGCTTCTACCATGTAATTAACCAGATCAACGCCTCTACCATGTAAGTCACCAGGTTAACACCTCTAACATGTAATTCACCTGTTAACACCTCTACCACAAATATCACCAGATCAACACCTCTAACATGTAATTCACCTGTTAACACCTCTACCACAAATATCACCAGATCAACACCTCTAACATGTAATTCACCTGTTAACACCTCTACCACAAATATCACCAGATCAACACCCACATATCAAAAGGAAGACTAAACAGCTATATGATGAAGTTTATCAAATTGTTTTTATCTCCTAATATAATGGTGTATTGAAATCTGTATTGAAATGTGCTATTTACTTAAATAATCGTCCATTTCATTATCCGTGACATTTAGGTAGAACCATGTTATTACCCCCATACTTCTGTTAAAAGGTGATTAAGCCGGATGGATTGGGTGATAAACAGTAAAGTGAAATATTCTCTGTAGCATAATTAAACCAATGATAAAAGATAAGTTTTTGCTGTTTTTTTAGATCACATTTGAGGTAATAACCGTCTCATGATGTAATAAAAGCGGGCGGTAGTTTCAAATGACGCCTATTAATGTTACGTGATAGAGGGAGCGGACTGTATTATACAACGATACACGGTCATTAATTATACTCGATATCCAAACAAGTCTAAAACATTTACTGGTAAAACGTGAAGCGTTTCCACTTCGTGTAAGCTTAAAGTTAATTATCATCTTAACTCTCATTT